GCACCAGTAGTGTGGTAAAGCAAGTCTTGATGGAGCCTCAAGCAATAGCAACAGGATCCACACATTGGCTTCGCCCACAGGTAGTGTAGCTCAAAGGTTGAGGCAGAGAACTAGCTAAAGCAGCAGCACACGAGAGGGAGGGCCTTGCAGAGCCATTTATCTCTTTGCCCTCCAATCAAACTGTGACCTGATTAATCCCACATGTTCCTATTCCAGGTTGGCACAATAGACCTAACTATCAAAGAAGGGAAATGGAGCTCTTCTTAAAGTGAATTTTTTTCCTAGCGGCAGAAAGATTATGTGTATTATTGCTACATTTTGTTGACAAGTTCAATATTTTTATGTAGTCAGTAGTTATTAAAGGGTAGTCTCTGGACTAACCACATCTGCATAACCTAAAACCTTGATAAAAAGGCAAACTCTTAGGATCCCACCTAAGATTTATTCCTGCAGAAACTCTGAGGGAGGCAGAAATATGTTTTTAAATTCCTCCAGGTGATCCTGATACTAACTAAAGTTTGAGAACCACTGGTTTAGGTCATAAGGCTTGCTTGGTCTCATTGGTTCCAATGTGTTAGAATATCTTAGGAGGAAAATGTGAAACAGATTCAAAAATCATCAGAGACCAGGTTTACTGGTCAGAGAAAGACTGGTGGGACCTTCAAGATTATGAACCTTATCCTTCAGGTTTGGAAATGGACTCATCTCCATGTGAATAAGCCACCATTTCCGATGATAAGGGCAGCACTGAGGAAAGTTGCATACATGACAGCACATTCAAGGGATCGAGTGCATGCGATGCAACAGGAAGCATATGAACTGTTGAATGTAAAAGAGATGATCTGCCCGGTAAACCTTCACCTAATTTAAAATGAAAAGATTTAAGAAAAAAGAAAAAGGAAAGAACTTGCTTGATTAGGCTAGGGTTAAAAGAGGGTAGGGAACTGGATCATGACAGGCCATGTCACCTACTGAAGAACTACCAAATGAATAAGTAAATAAAGCCTTAAAAAAACAACCAAAAACAGTTACCATTCAGTGAATTCCAACTGCAGCCAGCCCCAGTGAGTTCCAACCGCCTCCCTGTTCTGAGAGTCAGAATAGAACTGTGCTGCGCAGGGTATTCAAAGGCGGAGTTTTCAGAAGTAGATGTTCATTCAGGCTTTTCTTCCAAGGTCTCCCTGGGCAGAATCAGATTGCCAACCTTTTGGCAAGAAACACAGAGCTTGAATATTTGTGCCACCTGTAGATTGACACCAAGTGGATACTAAATGCTGAACAGGCTACACATCCATTGCCAGGAGAGGTCATGGCCACAGCAGAGCCTGATCTCTGGGATGAAATGATAACAGACTTTACAAGCTAGCTATTGGTAATAAATCAATGGTATCTCAAAAAGTGGGGCTTTCTGCATATTGGTGTAGGGAAGCAAAAACATATTTTTTTCTCTGAAAGATGATTAACATAATTCCTTTAAGGGAAAAAATGCAAACAGCGACAGAAGTACATTATTAAAAAATATTGGAAATGAAGAGGGGAGGAGGCATTTTGTGTTCTACCAAATTTGTCTTGGCCAAAAAGATCAAATTTAACTACTAACAGCACTGTTTCTATAGACATTTACAATGCAGTAAGTGCCTCTTTGTGCAATACTGACTTATTTTTAATATTTGCTAATACCTTATGCTCACATTCAAGTTCACAAGTTAGGCAGAATTCCCAGAAAAGAATCACCTGGTATATCAAAGGGATTCTGAATAATGAAAATCAACTGAATTTATCATTCAGCATAAATGCCACTGATATTTGATGGGGACTAATGTGGTATTAATGATATACCTATTTATTAAGTTTTATATCATTTCATATAAAATTAGTAAAATAAGTACAACTTAAATTTCATCACCAATTATGTCTCCCTTCCTTAATAATAATGAAAGATACCTATATCATGCTACTAAGCCCCTTTGGGCAACTATTTGCAAACAGGCAGTTGGATTTACAGGAGCTCAAATATGCAAGCAGTAGAAAATATCAGAAATCATTTCAAAGGGTCTACTAAGTTTGGTGCACTGATTATACACACAGGCAAGACAGTCTGGCTCATCTAAAATGTGTTTGTCCCAATGGCATGAGGAAGGTGCAATTAAACGGCTATGGATTGAATTTTTTGTCCCCCAAATAGGTGTTATAAATCATAATCTCTATACCTAAGAATGCAACCCAATTTGAGTACAGGATTTATTTTATTAGGTTAATCAGGCCAAATACTAAGACATACACCATTAAGTGGTAGTATAGAATCAGGCATGAGCTTTTGCTATATAATAAGAGCAGTTTAGGCACAGAGAAGCAAGCACAGGAAAACAACAGCCACATCTAATATGATCTTCAAGGAACATGGAGTCGAAAGAACACCGGTGAAATTGAGAGTAGGATTGACAGAACTGACAGAGAACCGTCCCATAGAGCTGAGGCCAGGAATTGACCTCCTAGCATCTTAAATTATGAGAAATTAGTTTCTGTTTGTCAGGTACTCATTTGTGGGATTTCTGTCTCCATCCAACTAAGAAACTAACACAATGACACACTGCGCATGTCTCCTTCTCATGAGGGCACGTCAACCCAGTGGAATGTTTTCACCTCTGTCTTGGGAAACAGCTACGTCTACTTGGCTTGCTACACTTTGGTATTTACACTGCCAGCACGTAAAATCCTATGATCGCAAACTTACTTTTCATACTCCTTTTCTTACATAGCACTAGGCATATTCATAACACTTTGAAATTATTCAAAGCAGAAAATGAACTAGCTTAGAGTATTATCAATTATGCATATGTAAAACAAGCAAGAAACATTTTGACTTGAATAACATCAAGTTAACGTAAATGCACTGGGATAACTCAACACACTCAAGTATTTAGAAAGTTGTTGATAGCTCACACATTATGCATTTCATATGTAATCTCCTCCTTGGAAAAGTGCTGTATTGTGTGACATGAAAATATTTCAAACAGCCAAGGAATTAAATTTCAAATAATCAACCTCATTTTCCCTATAAAGTAATAAAAAAAAAAGCTATTGTCAGTTGCTATATTGTTCATAGTTTTTAAAAAAAGATAAAACCACATATTCCACTCCGTCTTTAAATTTCAGCAAATCTAATATCAAACGTAATGTTTCCTAAACCTAGGATGAATTTCCAATGCTAGAACATTTATAAACATAGAATAGTTCACTACATTTGACTCTTGGGATGCCAATCTAAATTTCAGTTTAAAAACAGTTCATAGAAAGGATTTGTGAAAAATAAAGTTATTTTCTGCTGAGCCTGGTTCATGCACATTCAGCCCAATCTCTGAGAAATAAGAACTGTTAACAGATTTTGTTTGAAATATACTCAAGTAATCATTGATACTGAGGAGCCAGGATCAGTCAAGTAGATGTGAGTGAGGAGAGGGGAGCTCCCTTAGCACACAAGGTGAGGCCACACCTGCCGTACAGGCATTCCACTCTTTTCCAGGCGGCAGTGGATATAGAATAATATCTGCTGGTCTCTTTGAGTTGTTGGAACACAACAAATTGCTCAACTGAAGTAAGGCTGTTTCATGACTTCAGTGAGCTGCATCTCATTGCCATATGTTTGACAATGAAATATGACAATGATATATGACAGTGAAATTAAAGCTGGGGAATTCTGCTCCCCACAAAGATTTTATCTGTCAAATTTCTGGAATTTAGTATAGCTTTTCAAAGAACTTTTTTTAAAACAAACAAACAAAAACTCTAGCTCCCCAAATCTCTACCGTAAGTCATTAAGAGTTGCTAAAGGCACAAACGCATCCCACAGGTACCAACTAACAACAATCCAAATAGCTAAGACCAGGTTGATTCCATTATCTATAGAGAGTGTAGCAACTACTTCATGCTTTGATTACAGAAACTTTGAGTAATATCATGCCAATACAGTGAAGCCTCAATTAATGAAAGTTGAATATAAATCCCCCAAAATATCTGCTGCATTTTACTTTAGAAAGAAAAAGAACTATATTTATTTATTTTTTAAGTCCATATAAAGTACTTGCAAAAGCAGCCATTTTCTGCTGTGATGGGTTAGTGCATATTCATTCCAAAATCAAAAGCAATTATACAGTATTAAAGAGGCCTAACCACAGTGTAATCCCCAAATACTGAGAAATCACCAAACCAAGTTTCTGTTTTCTATGGTTTCTCTGCACTTTGCTGACTAAGCAGAATGATCATATAATGCATGTTACAAAGAGTTTTCAATATGCTAAACAGAAACAAATCTCAGATTGAAGAAAACACAAATGTGTTAAATGCTACTTTCTTTTAATAGAGCTTTGGCTGTCTGTTTTACAAATTTTCTTTTCACTTAATGACAAACACCAATTACATAGCAAAGATCACTCAGGCCTATCAGTAAATAAATGTCAAAATGTTTGACTAGAAATGATCTGCAACTGAGGATCCAGAAGTGCAGTTAACACTTCCAGTTCCTGAGCTGCGCCTGGTCCATGATGGATAAAAGTAAAACCAGTGTGTGCTTCTTGCCCAGAACCAAATGAAAAACCTGAAAGCAAAATTGTGTTTGCTCTTTTCACGCTGGATTACTATAGACACGAAATCCTTGCATTTTCAAAAGCTAACCCTTTTTTCTCTCTCAAATATAGCACCGTGGTCCCGTCTTCAGTGTGGAGCCATGTCCACATTTCACTTTAATCCAGTTCCTCTCCAAACAAAGAAGTCCCAGGCAGTGTTAATTGACTCTGGGATGGTACACTTCAATTTCCCCTCACTGCTGCTAACCCCATATGGTCGCCTTCATTAAATATCAATCACCCAGGGAAACCGGGTACTTGCTTTCTCTGAGGTTGTTTGGTATGCTTACCTTTCTCTTCTCTGACTGATGTGTGTGTGTGTGTGTGTGTGTGTGTGTGTGTGTGTGTATGTGTCCATTCCCCCCCCGAAAAACTTACCTGCTGCCTTAGCGACATCTGCACTTGTCACATTTTGGGTATTGGAGTTCACTCTGAAGGTGACAGCTGGTCCAGTAACACTGAAAAAGATGATTTACAAATGAGTTTATAACTAAGTCAAAATACAATGTTGCTTATCCAAAAGCTACACAGGCAACATTAATACACTTTAAAAATACAAGTATGTGTCCCTCAACATTCTCAATCCATCCCTTGGAATGGGATGTTATGTGACTTAGACGTTGTACAGATATGGTGCTGTATCCAAGAGAAAGTCATGCAGGTTGGTCACAGAGTGACTGGGCCCCACATTGCCTGAAACTAGATAAAAACAGACTTAGCTGCTTCTGAACCTGTGTGGCTGCGGCCCCATCTCCAAGATCTGTGTCTGCCCTCCCCCCTCAGCATGCAATAGCAGTCCGACTGGCTTTGTGCCAACCTGCCTCCATAGGCTCCACACCTTCCATCCTTGCCTGCCTGTCACAGGAGGGGCAGCATCACAAAGCATTCTTGTGTTAAGGGAGGGCTTGAACAGAGGCCCAAAGTCCATCCACTTCCTCTATGTGTTACCAGATAAATATATGTACACAGGCAAATACCTCTATTTTAATGAATTAATATATTTACATATGTACACACCTATGTTGATACCTCTATCCACAGCTTTGCTTCCTAGATCTTTCCTCTGTTTTACCTTCCTCCTGCCCCACCATCCCACTTGCCCGTCTTCTGCATCTTAGTAATTCCTCTCAGCTAGATTGCTGTTGCTCTAATACCACCGGATCTCTATGGCCTCTTCATTGTTGCTTTTTTTTTAATGGTTTTATTCCTCTTTTTAATCATTTTATTAGGGGTTCATACAACTCTTATCACAATCCATACATACATCAAATGTGTAAAGCACATTTGTACATTCATTGCCCTCGTCATTCTCAAAACATTTGCTCTCCACTTAAGCCCCCGTCATCAGGTCCTCATTTTTCCCCTCCCTCCGTGCTCCCCACTCCCTCATGAACCCTTGATAATTTATAAATTG